GTTGGTTACTGATAAAGTGCAACAAACTGACGTTTCTGAGGATGACTTAAACCAGCATTTCAACCACTCACATTGAAATTTTTGTGAGAATATCTATATGAAGGAGAAGTGAATATTGATGCCTCCTTTACTTACTGAAACCATTTTTCCCTCTGATGGCATGAAAGCTGGTCGATTGCTGATTCTCAGTTTTGTCTGCAGGGTATTGAAATTGATCTCCAGTTGACATTTCTCTTGGACTTTGGGAGGTTTGTGTTTGCGACGGTAGTCCCGAAAATCCTCCAATTTCTTCTGCATAGCCTGCATTGTTTTTTCTGGGGTCCTGTTTTCCAGCCAAGGAATTGTCCGGCGAATCCATTCTAAAAGCTTTCAAACCAACACAAACAGTTGAAATAAAGGCAATAAAAAGCAACCAAAAAAAGATGATACTCAATGCACAAATCCTAATTATGATGCTCCATTTTAATACTACTGACTTCAGTTGGTACTGGTGCCTTAATTGCAAGTAAGCACAATATTTTCAAAGCTTTTTTACTAATTTGCTAACTCTAGGTATTTCTAGAAATACCTGATTTTCAGAAAGATGAACACACACGTAAGGTGTCTCTAGTTAATTACTCAAAACTTGAGTTACCTGAAATCACTTGCCACTTTCAAAAGTATTGGTCTTGATGTCTCAAGCAGTCATAGATATGAGATCAGGACAGGCACCAGCTAAGTAATTCAAGCCATATAAAAATCTTCACTCAACAGTTCATTAGTGCCAATGTAGCAGCACTGTCTTTGTGTCCATGATCTCAGTGTGTTTGCCATGAAAGGACAGGAGGAGAACAATGTGCCATTTGCTGCCTGTGTCCATGGGGACACTGTGAACACCCTAAGAGACCCTGCCCAGGTATGCTTTGCTGTACACCAAGGCAGCAGGCTTACTGGGAGTGACAGGATCCTCTATGTTCCACATATGGTTTGGTATGGCTGTCTTTGGAGATTACAGAGACAGCAAACCTGGTCATGTGGAAATCTGATTAAGGTTCTCAAAACACCTTTTTAGCACATTAATAAGACTGAGTGACTTGCTGGAGGTGACACAGGAAGTCTATGGCAAAGGAGTCACCTGAACCTTGACGTCTTGGGCAACTGAGCTTTGCACCTTACCACTGTGAGATTTACCCTCATAGCCCCTTCACTTTGCTGTCCTGCACACAGCGCGTGAATCATTCAGCTTTCAGTATTTCATGAACATAATTATCACCACACCACAGACACAGTGGTCCTTACCTCACTTGCTAGTCTCTCATACTCTTCCATCAACCTCTCATTTTCCTGATTCACAGCAAGCACCTTACAGATCCGGTTAGCCGCAGTCTCAGCCTGTAAAACACAGCAAACAAACAGGGCATAATCATAAACGCATTCTGAGAAAGCTACAGGCTTGGAGAAAGTAAGAGAATGTGGCTGCTGCAAATAAAAATCACACTGTTTTATATGTGGATCCATGCTCCTAGGTTACTTATATGTATTTATCCTCTTTCTGTAGTCACAGATTCCAATGGCCTGAACAAGGCACAGATCAGCACAGAAGTCACCTTGTTGTACAATGAAGGCTTATTATAAAAGGGGGAATTTCACACTGCCATTATAGTTGTCTAATGAATCTTTTCAAGATGACTTAGGCTGTTCTTAAAGTTATCCTATTAGGTTAATTTTTTTCAGTCACACCATAAACGTACTAGATTTGATAGCCACACTGGAAAGACACCTCATGTGACTCAGGAGTCCCAGACTACACTATATCTGCACATCACATGTACATACACCATTACACCATACACATACACCATATATGCAGCTCAACCACTGATAGCAAATCTTTTCAATTTATTTGCGAAGGCACTGTGTAGCTCTGTCATATTTAAAATTTACATTAATGGTTTGCTGTCACAGATCCGTACTTCCATACAAATGTGAGTCTGGAGTATATTTGATCAAATAAATATCTGTGTAGACTTCTGTGTTACAGAGTATTTGGAATCCCCCTTTTACAGGAATAGCAAAAACTTCATACCCAGAAGCAAGTGGGCGCAAGAGCGTAGCTGTGCTCTGATAAGGTGTAAGGGTCCTACCAGACAGGAAGGGAAATTCAATCCTGAGGATGAAGGAAAAATTTCAGCTACTTTAAGGGTCCTTTATTTTTTTTTCCCAACTTAAGTTGGGTTATGTACATTTGAGGCTAGAAATGTAAGAAGCAGAGCAGTGGGAAATGCCACATTTCTAAGTGAGAATCTCATCCTGTGTGACAGATCTGCTGCTGATGTTCTCGTCTCTTGCACTTTGATCCACAAATAATTCTGTTGGCTTCAGTGGGCCCTGGGTACAACTACTGTGCTGGATGTCTTCTGCATCTTTATGCATCTTTCTGTGCCTTTCTGCATCTTTAGGCATCTTTGAAAATCTAGTCCTAAATTACTACTCAGCATGAGTAAGTCTAGAATAGTCTCAATCTCCAAAAGTCAAACATTTTTTATGCAGCAAATGCATAAGAGATGTTGATGTAGTAACAAACAACTCCATTTCAAAGTATCTTCAAATACAGTTTTTCCGAAATATTCTTTATAATCACCAAATAAAGACCCAAATTTAGAAACAGGAATGTCTATTGTAATTAAAGAAGTTCAACTTGCTACACAACATTTAACCAAAGCGGGTTCAGGTGTTTGTTAAAAACAAGTATTAGTGCTCAAGTAATACTTGCAATTGTTAATGAAAACCACAAAGTACTAAATTAGTTTTTTTTAACAGACTAGTGGAAATGTGAAACAACCAATCAAAACCACAGCAACCTGAAGGGACAGTTGATTAATACCTGCTCTGCTCCAGCAAAAGCATGGTAGAAGCAGGACACATATGTCATGATAGCTCTCTCATCAGGTTTGGGAGTGTTCACAATATCTACAAGATGGGGGGAGAAATGAAAACAACAACAACAAAAAGAATCGAGGAGTAGAAATCAGGATGAATAAATAAAAGCACAACATAGTGTAATTCTGATTGTTTTCTTGTCCATATTTCTGTACTCTAGAAACTCTAAAAAGCTGTAATAAATGTAGTGTTAGATTGGTGGGTGCTGACAGAATAAAATGTACCCTAGAAATATAACATAAGCTCTTACAGAGATGTGGATTTTTAAAATAAGCCTGATCCTGCAATATTGTCACAGGGCAAGTGACGTTAATTTTACCAGGACTATCTGCTTAAGAACTGGCACACGTATTTCTGGTGACTTAGCATGTGGCAGGGTTTTGACTAAGACAGAAGGAAAACAGACTATGTTTTGATCTGGGGAGAAGTTCTCTGGAAGTTGCATGTAGATTAGTTATAACCTTAGCATTATATATCAGTATTCTTTATATCAGTAACACCCAAAGTATGTCTTTCAGAGCTGAACTGCCTTGCTCTTTAAATTTTTCCTTCTTTTCATTAGGACATGATTCCAGAGCTCTTCTGAAATGTCTGTGTATGTTTCTATGTCTGTTTTTCATAGTAGCAACATTTTATGTTTCTGTTTGTACTTACCATTAAGCATTTAACATTTTAAAAACAATCCTGAAAGCATAAGAGAAGGGTTTATTTTCTGAGCATCTGTTATGATGATTTTGACATCTGTAGCAGGAATAATATCCAGCAGGAAGAAAAAAGATGGCATTCAGCTATTGAAATTGTTTTTTTAACTATGAGCTTATTTTCTTCTTGTATTTTTAATGGTATTTCAAATGAATGCACACAAGTTCAATTAAAGAGAATAATGTCCTCTACCTCGTTCAGTAACCAGCTGTCAAACACCTACTGGATATTATTGGTATATATACAGAAAGATGAGACAGGAGGGTTTGTTTCTATGGAACAAAAGGATAGAATACTACTGGCTCTACTGAGACAATAGCTCACAGGGAAAAATCAGGCAACAGGAATTGAGCTCAGCTCTAAGGCACTGTCCTACTAACTAGCAAGGAAAAGATCAGAAGAGAAAAAACTGCTGAAAGAAATAAGACAGAAGGTGAAGGGTGAGATCTGATCCATCTTCTACAACCTCACCTTCTGAGCACCAGCAAATGCATGGTAGTAACAGGAAACATAAGTCATAATGGCTCTTTCATCAGGTCTGGCAGTGTTTACTACATCTGTGTAGAGAGAAGAGGGTTAACTGCTCATAAATTTTCACAAGGTACTTCCATCAGATTTTGCTGATGATGCCACCTCAGTGCTGTAAAGGATTCAAAATAAATACACCATTATTCAGGTTGCATCTGTTTACTGATACATGTGCAAAGCTACCTAAGCTTTAGGAATCAACAAATGGAAAAGATATCACTCTCCCTGAAATGGCAAAACATCTGAAGGCTGAGCCTGTGCAGGAAGGCATCGCTACCTTCTGGTCTGGGGAAACTTCCAAGCAGATGGCATGGCTGGCAGATCTGCTGGGTTCAGCCTCACTGTTGCTCCAAAGCAACTTCATCTGAATCCCTAGAATTATTCCAGAGTTAAACACAGCCAGACAGTCACAAAATAGGAGTGAGTACAGCGTATATTAGCACAGGGTTGCCATGAGGTATTGACATATTGGAAACCTGTAGAACTTCTGCAGTCCAGAAATACATTTTGTGCTACAAAAAGCTTGGATAGGAACAGTTTTGCAGTCCCTGTGCCAGTCAGTCTTTTTAGTTAATAGCATAAATCACAGAAGAGTTTGGCTTGGCTGGCTTGGCTTTGTCATTATTGAGGCAGAAAAAAGTAAAAGCATAGAGAGGATGGAATCAAGGTGGGGTACACTGGTAAAAACAAAGATTTTCAATATTTATCAGAGAAAGGCAGAAAAAGCTGGTTTTACACCAATTACGGCTGCATGATGAATGATGCTAGTGCAAGCTGCAAAGATTCCTGCCCATATAAGGCGTGTGAAAAGACCTAGAAATGAGGTGACAATTTCTAATATTAATAGTGAGTTAGAATTCTAAGTTCAGAACCAACTGATATTTACTGATTTTGCACCTACTTCACGCAGCTGTGAACAAAACTTTGCAAAGTTTCCACTGAGAACACAGTGAAAGTAAAGAGAGTAAAAAGTGATGGTGAATATATAGAGGGTGTTAGAATAAACATAATTTCATTTCCCCCTCCCCTGACAAGAAGGAGAATAGTAAGATAAGGGCTACAATGTGCAGAAAATCTGATGAGTAAAGAAAAAGGTTTCTGTTTCTTACATTGTATGCAAAGAGAAAAAACGAGGAAAGGAGAATGACAGCAGGAGCTGTTCAATGGTAAGGAGGCAGCACTTCTGTTTATTCCTTGCGCAGTATTTCAGAGTAAAATAATTAAGTGGTGCTTGAAAGGGGAATTGCAATTTAAAAAATGAAAACAATTAGGTTTGAAGAATGAAAGTGAAACGGAGAAACCTCTTCAATGAAGAGGTTACAATCTGGATTTTCCAAATCATCCTGCATTGGCCTAACTTCCCTCCCAGAGAGTTCAAGGGGAGCCAACACAGTCAGTTTGAGTACTCTGGGTAATTCCTGTGTTATCACTGCTCTACTCACAAGCCACCAGAGCAGAGTCTGCATACTTGGAAAGGAATGCTTTGAACTGGTGTAGCAAATTCCAATATTTTGGCACCATTTTTTTGCCTACAAAAAAAAGTTTGTACAAAAAAAGTTTGTACAAAAAAGGTACGAAAGCTTGGTTATCTTGAAGAAATTCAGGAAACCTTAATAAATATTTCCCTGTTATTTGTCATCAGGCTCTGCAGATTATTGGAGAAATCAAACATGAAACTATTTGTTAAAACTACCACTGCAAAAGGTTTACAATTAAAATAAACCCAAAAAATGCTTCCCTCAACTCTTTCATAGGAGGAATGCTGTTAGTATATTTGAAAAGTCTGTAATTCTGTTTCTATTTCTGGCCCTCTCACTTAAACATTTTAAAAAGTGAACATGCTTTAAGCTGCTAACAGTTGTATCTCCCTTTATTAGACTTAGATTTTAATTTCTTAAAGGCAGGGATCTTAAAGGGAGGATCTTTTTATCCTGCATTTTACCTCAGTTATCACAGTGAGGCCATGTGCTGAGGTTAGGGTCCAAAGTACTATAATAAATACAAACGATAAGAAATAAGGAATGAAGTAACAAGTGAGTGAAATTATCCAGTACATGCGGAATAAGAAGGAAAACACTTTGAAAACAAAGCAGGTTATTCCATTATGATTCATGTGGAAGGAGTGTTGAAAAATTGCTAGACACAAACCAAAAGGTTTTACTGTCTCCTGCTTGCAAGTAACACAAAGGTCAGTAAGATATAACTCTTACCTTCTGCATCCAACATCTTAGGGATATCCAAATGCTTTTCAGCAATTTCCATGGCAAGGTTGATATTTCCTATCGGGTCATCCTGCATTAAAGAAGAACATTCAGCTAGTCAAAGATAGAAGTTTTTCCTTGAAGCAAGACTACAGTAGGTGCACTAAAACTTACTGTTTTTCTAAACTGTAAACTGGAGTCACAACTATTGTTCTTCAAAAGCAGAATATAGATATATGAACTTTTGGTCTATCTACTGTGACACTATATAAAGAAAACAGTACTAAGCTATAATGTGCCACTAGGACTCTACTGCAAACATATTCTGGAGGGGAACATTGATGTTTGCATTGTACACTGATAAGTCTTAGGTAATTGTGAATGACATACAGCAGTAATACAGACAGTCAAGGCCACTGGTGCAATCGGCTCTACTAGACCATTCATCACAAAGTTACTCCTGCATGTTTTATACCTACTAGACATTATACTACAGTGATATGAATTCTAGTGAGTTCTCTGCTGGTCAGGTGCATGTGTGAGAAGCAGCAAGCACAGATGGAAGAAGAGTTCTCCAGAAGGAGCAAAACTTCCCAGTTTTGGCTTGGATAGACAAATCTGTAATGACTCTATAAACTGAATTTTAGAGCAGTGGAAATTCAAGAACTTTTTCTGGTTTTGAGATTTTTATTTTGGTTTTTGGAGGAAAGAGAAAGGAAGTAGTGGGCACAGTTGGTAAACAGCACACATTTTATGTCCTACACAACAGACAGCTCTTGCTGACAACAGAAGAGCACATCCGATCAGGGCTGCTTTTAAGACAGCCTTCCCATATCAGTGTGGAGAGAAAACACCCTATGCGAAATGCATGTTTGTGCTATTAATGCAATCATTATTTTCACATATTCACAAACTGCTAAATGATCATAGCCACTCTGAACATTGCTGATGTCTGCAGAGAGGTTGGGAAAACAGGACACAGAGGAGCAAAGTTACGGATGCTGGAGGGCACTGAAAAAATGTTAACAGATTTTCTGTGGGGAATTTCTAGGGCTTCCATTTGAAGACAAACATTTCTCATAAAGGGATCTAGTCTCAAGCATGCTTCTTTTGTTAACTTTGAAATGAACTTAGTAAGATTACTTACTCTGGAATCCAAGAATTATTTCAGTTTCACAGAAGTCTGTTCCTCATGCACACACATATGTCAGGTATCATAAGCAGTAATGCCCATGACAGGTCTTTCTATAAACGTATCATACAAGGTAGCCATTTCATTAAAAGGTGCATGTTCAGTAAAAAGTGTTATGAAGAAGGGTTTACATTTTCAAACCTAATAATTTGGGTATAATAGAATACAAGGTGTCTGATCGTAAGTTCTCACTCTATCATCATTTAGCAGTTTTGTGCATCATTGACATTAAGAGAAACTTAAAATACGGACAATATTTAAAACCCATGAACTTACTTTTACTGTTACACAAGACACGGTGTGTAATACAACATTTACTAAATGTGGATACAAAAACTCTTACGGAAATTAAATGGGACAAAAATACACTAAAACTAAGTGAGACCTATTGACTAAAACACTTTGCTTATGAATGAGTGATGAGCACCTCCTATTTGTGTGCTTGGCACTAAGTCCATGAGTAATCAGTGCTCTACTGGTAAAGGATTTTTTTAAAATCGCAGCAACTTCTGAATTATTGGAGGAGATCTCCATCACCCATCCTTTTAAACAAAACTACAAGCCACAGTAACTAAAAATCTCTGCTACAGCTGAAGAAATACCTCATCTAACTTGTCATAGTCAAGAAGATCAGGCCTGTGTCTATGGATAAGGGCATTGAAAGCAAGACCATCTTTCCAGCTACGAGTTCACACAAAGCACATTGGTGAGAAAAGGAAAAGGCAGCATGCAGGAGGTAAGAAACAAGACACCAAGACAGCTGTTAATGTAACCAAAATGAGCAGTCAATCAAACACAGCCAGGTCAGAAAAGCAGGATCTATTTTAGGATTTTTCTGCATGTGCTTTACATGCCACAGCTCAGCCTCAGTTTGAAACCTGACCTGCTCCTATTTTGGAAACCTCTACGAGGGAATAGTAATGCTGAAGTAGAGCTGCTTGTGGTCTATTGCCTTTTTTCGGCACTCATCTACAGGGTGGTTATACTGTGGAGATTTTTAGTACTGTGCACCACTTTTCAAGGCACAAACTCAATCAAACTAATTGCTGCTTGTACTGTGCTTAAGCCCATGTATGCAGAGACGGGTAGCTCAGCCATTCCATGGATCTGTTTATCCGCAGGAAAGGTTCCGTATAAGATCAGAGAACAAGCTGGTGTTGGTGGCTAACATTTCGCCTTTTGGCTCAGATCTGCAGTCATCTTAACAACTGCCCAAATAAAAATCTTATGTATTTAGGAATAAGCTCACTTACTTTTCATCGCTGCATGCCTTGGGGACCCCAGCATAAATTTAACATATACATAAAGCACACTAAGTTTTCACATGATTTTGTTTCATTCATTCATCTTTTTCCTCATCAAAGGCTTTCTCATAACAGTTGATTTTGCTAGTAAAATCAATTTGTAATGGAAGGGCATAGAATGGAAAATAGAGCCTATGATTTACCGGTTTCTCTCATTAATGAAAAGTTGCACTCAACAAATAAAAACCATGATTAAAAGTTCTCTGTTATACTGGTGTTTATGTGAGACCTCAAGACACACTCATTCTAGAGAGCAGAAAATGGTACATATGTAATTGAGAGCTAATGTGAAACAGTAACATTCCACTTTTTTTCTAGGTTTTATTCTTCAGTAATGGTACCCAGAAATTCTGACATTAGTACTTGCCTCTCATTTCTCCCTCTCAAACCAAAGTGGCTGGCATCTTTGAGAAAACATGCATTTTACCATGAGTAGCACATTGTAATAAAATAGTTTTGTAAGCCCCATGAGGTACTACCTAAGGAAGTTAGGATATCCGTTTGGTTTCCACTTGTCTGGGAGTACAGGTAGAAGTATAATCTAAGAACTGGTGAATATTCTCTACGTAAGACTAGTAACTTATTGTGCACTCCTGATTGCCAAGTGTGGTGTTCGTTCTAAGAAATCTTAGGATTAATCATCATCTCATTGTTTACTGCTCTGCAATATACAGTCATTTACAGCTGATCTACAGCAGGCTGGACTGTACAATATTATCAGTGGTGAATAAAGAATTCCAACGTATTTGATTTAACATCTGTGTTGGCTCAGCATGAAAGACTTCATCAACTGCCTATCATCTGAGGACCAGATTATTTGCAATTACATGCTGAAGTCATTTTAATGAGAAGTAAAGAAGGACACAGGACAGGGATGGGGTCCTTTCCTCCACATCACTGTTTTTTTTTGGAGGGAACTTAGAAAGCCAGTCAGAATTAGCATGCACTCCCCAGCTTGTCTTTTAGAAAACGTGCTAAGCAAACCAGAAGTGAGCCAAATCACTGCAGGACAGCATGCTGTACCACCCAGACTGATGACCTTATTTAGCTTGGAGTAGTCAATAAGATCAGGTCGGTGTCTGTGGATAAGTGCACATAATCCAAGGCCATCTTTCCAGCTTCACAACAAAAAATAGAATGGAAAAAAAATTAGTTCATAAAGTCATGGCATTTTACAGTTTGATCCTTGTTCAAGGCTTAAAATCAAGCAGGAACTCTCCTGTCAAATCCTGACACTTATGTTCCGTCAACTCTCACCCCTCTGAGCTTTTCTGTTACTGTATTCCTTTTCCTATAGCACCTGTCTTACCCTACAGTCCATACACATTTAAGGACTCCATAATACTTTCTAGGCAGTGTACATTATATGCAACAGTCCCTGAGTTCAATTGCTTAATTTGTGCAGTGTTCCAGGATAGCTTGGAGTACGCATTCATCAATCAATGTGCATAATCTCCTGTTACACTCACAGCATGTTGATGAAAAAATAGAGGAAGAGCAAACCTGCAGCTACTGGAGTCTGCTGAAGCAATTGGCTTTTTCTGTGTCAGTTATTTCAGTCAATTTTAATGGCAGAACCATGCTGTGCTCATAGAAGTAAGAAGTCATTAATCAGTTTAGTTTATTTAAAACACTTCACACGTATGACAGCTTCGATCTCAGCTCTTACACTTCAGTGTGACTTCAGGCCCCCTACATTGCAAGGCAAGAATAGGCAATAAATAGAGCTACAAATACATGTTATACAGTCACTGGTACTGTGGGTTTGAGAACCTATCCTGTGCAGTAATTGTGTGATACTAAACACATTAAGACTGTTAGAATCATGTCTGCCACTGCGATTGTCTGTCAAGGAACAGAACCATCTCCAATAGAAATGTAATACAATTAAACAGAATGTACAGACATCGTATAATATAAAATCATCTAGAAGGTAAAACTGAATCAAAATGAACACCAAACTAACAAAAAGCTTTTTTTCCAAAAGGCACAGACTAAAATGGTCTGGACAGGCTGATGTAAAATAGTTCTGATTAAGACCTGATTAACACAAACATTAATCAAGGTACTTCCATTCAAGAAGTTTTGCCCATACCATGGACCAGACCAGCATATATATGAAAACACACTAAGATTCTGATACTGTAATTTACAGTACACCCTGCATCCATGTAAAGCTTTACTGAAATATACCTCTATATATTCAAGGAAAAGAACATGTAACAGATTTCAGATCTCACTGTGCTGAAGTACTCAGATAATCCCATACACCAAGGACCTCTAGTAATGTAATATGGTCAGTTTGTATGTAGTAGGAATTTTTTTCTTTTAAAAAGTAACTGTAGAAGCCATGGTAAATAAAGCCAAAGGCTAACCAAAATAAGACTCTGAAGATAGAGCATAAGAATTTGAAAAACATCGAGTTAACAGTGAAGAGTGAAATTCTCCTGTCAAATATATACCTACATAACTGTGGGAAAAATGGACCTAAAATATTTTAGACTGCTTCTGCCCATTGAAATAATGTAAGTTTACCTAAGGTGGAAGTTCTGAATGTTCACATTTCTGTAAGGAGCTGTTTTTCTTTGACACCACAGCAGTAGCCCTTCTTTGGCAGAGGTCTCTGTAAAAGACACCAGGGAATGAAAAAAAGAAAATATGTAAAAAGTGCTCAAGTAATTAATTTCTTGTAATCTTAAATGTGGTCAAACACCTGAAACCGGTTGGCGCAAACCAGCATTTAATCCTAAAAGATACTCATATAAATGGACTAATGGGGCTCCAATAGGACACAGAGATCAGCTCAACTGGAACAACTCAGACTAGAGCCTCAGCCTGCACAGTAATTCTGGGATACCAGAATTTTAAGGAATTCTATTGGTTAGACAGCAGAATGTATATTTGGAGGAAAATATCCAATACAAATATAACAGAACTAGACAAAAAAGACTGTGTTGGTGCCTACATAAAATATGCTTGCAGTCTCTGCCCATTTGCTTACAGGGAGTTTTAAGTGCTGAAGAAATACCTTCATTATCTGAACCCTGTGGGCATCTGAATGCACAAGTAAAGGACAGAAAAGATCAAATAGACCATTAGGCTCACATTTAATGTCTCACAAATTATGGGCAGGACAGCATGCAGAATTTGAATTGACTCAACTTTTATTGAAAATTGAGATTAGTTTCTAGAATTATAGACTTGATTTAAAGAGCATTGTAACTATAACATACTTTTTGAAGCCAGTTACCAAATGAAACTTAAGAAAAAAACAAACTTCTGAAGCAGTAGGGGGAGAAAAGTGATAGAAAGAAGAGAGATATAATCAGATGTTTGCAAAGAATGTAAGAACCAGACAGGACTAAAAAAGTATGTTGTACATAAAACAACCATACAGGGTACAGCAGTTTCAGGCCACTGAAGCTCAGAAACACCGGCATGTTTCTATCTCTATAACTAGGAGACATGCACAGAACTTCTGCACCTAGAAAGCTGGCTCAAGGTCTCTGTCAGGATAAGGAGAATAATGACTTTTTCCCTCCAGAAATGGGTTTTGTCACCAGGTAGGGAACTTGCACTATCGTTTTTCTGTGAAAAAAATAATTCATTTTTAAAACACTCATCTTACTTGTGCACAATTCATATAAAAATGTCTTTAAACAAACTTCCTAGTTATTTAACATAATTGCATTACTATTACCTTCCACTGAAATATCCTGAATCGCAAAGCGCAGGATGATAGTCCAGATCATACCCAGTGTCATTTTCACATTGCCGTCAACAATTTCTAAAGTGAAAAAAAGAGACAGTGGTAATATTTAAAATGCATTTTCCATTTTGTCTTATTTTAATAATGTATACTATAAATAATATATAGTATCTAATAAATTCATTCTATTTCTACCGTAATTCTTTACCTACACAATGTTCATGTGGGTTCACTTTTCAGCAGACTCATGCTTGTGCTACCCTGACAGTAGTAATGACAGTAACTGAAGGTTACTGAGGTTAAGGTCACTTCAGCCCTTCCATGCTAAAAGGCTTCTCTCCAGGTAGTTGTAACAGTCTCAAATATTTAGCTTTTAGGCTGATGTTTTTAGAGAGAGTCTGAGGGGAAATACTATTTAAAGTATTTAACAGCCTTGTTGTTTTCAAATACAAAGGAACTAAAAAAAATATGGTCTTACCCCACATTCTAAGAAACCACAAGACATTAAGATTATTAGTTTTTAATAAAATGGTACTCAGAAATCTCCCTATACTCTTTAGACCTTTTTGAGAATTTTACCTATAGTGCCAGCATAGACTAGATATGAAGACATATGCTCGAGACACAGCACTTCCCAAGACTAAGCTACATAGCTTTCTGCCAAGCAGTTCAGAAATGTGGTCACGAGGTTGCAATGTCTTACAACTCTGATGCCTATGCACATTTATGTATCTTTAATATAAAATGGGATTTTTTACCTCTGGGGCTTCAATTTGTCTCAAGACTGTTTGAGTCTACCTACAACACAGGGTGGTAAGAAGGTGCTTTCTCCAGCCCTTCTCACACATACATTGGAGCCCCTTCCACAAGCCACATCAGACTCCAGTGCTCCTACATTGGAATGCAAACAGTGATACTATTTCAGTTTCTCAACACAAAAAAAAATGTACTGCCAGATCACTTAAGTGTGGTGATAATGTTCGATCAATCTGAAAACTATGGCAAGAGCCTCAGAAGAACATAGTGAGACTGTAAGGAGAGTCCAGCACTGGAGGGAAGAAGGTGGGATGACGAGAGGAGAACTGCAGACTGCCTTCCCAGTCACCGTGCACCAAAAGAGCAGTGGAGCAGAGAAGGCACCAGCTGCTCCCCTGCTTGAAAGTCACCTCCAGCCCTCCTCAGAATGCAGAACAGCTGTGGCTGCCTGGGGGCCCACTGGTGTTCTGGGCAAGGAGCAGGAGGAATTTCTTCAATTTGATGTCAAATGCCAATAGAGGTGCCAGCAGAAAAGGCAGTTGCTCTGCTGCTTAAAAGTTGTCTGAATCCAGGGGCAACTTTTACGGAACAAAGCAGCTGCTAGCTCCAAGACTTGAGATATATGGAAATTGCAGTAGTATGTGACACAAGCTGTCATGTGAACATAGAATTAACAAATGTGGCAGGAGATATGTCACCCATCACTACTCCATACTTACTTTGCTAGTGTGATAATCCAAGTTTATATATGGATGGCTATTTTTCCACTTTCCCCTTTGGATTCTACTCTAATTTTCCAGAATTTTTACCTCACTTTGCCTACCTTCCATGCGTTATTACTATCTTATTGGCCCTGAAAGACCTCAAGTCTCTTCAAATCTCAAAACTAAATTCTTTCAACCAAAAAAGACCAAAGGGCAATTAGGGCATGGAGCTACTTCTCTCTTCTCCCTCCTCCTCGGTCAAGTATTTAATTGTATTTTGATCAGATGTCTGATATGTACATACAGTAAAGGAGAATTTCTTAAAACGTAAAATAAATGAATTTAAATACTCAGGAGGGATTGCTGATTGTTAGGGAATCAATTCATAGGTTTGCATAATCACTCCATTGTTGTTTGGATTTACACAGCTGTATGTATACACAGACAGAATGAAAGAGCAAGGGAGGGAATTTTCTATGTTGTGCCTCAGGAGAATTTTCAAGTGGTTTGCCAGCTTTGGTTTCTCATTATCTACATAAAGCACAAAAAAAGAAAGGAAAAATAACTCAAGAGAAGGAAAACAAAGTTCCTAAATGCTGAAAAGTATCAGTGACAGAAAAATTCTGATTCATTCCTATCATTTTCCTCTACAGGCCAATAGAAGCCTTAATTATTTTCTTCCCATTGCTGGTTTGCTCTGGAAGGAATATAGTTCCTACACCTCACACATGCAAAGCTGCAGCTTTCTGGGGAAAAAGGTCTTGCTGACCTATGAGGACAGGAAAGAAGAGGAAGGAAATGGAAGGGGAAATAATAAAAAACTGCCTAGGAAAAAAAATAAGCAAAGCAGTGTGGCAAGTTCTCAAAGGTTTTAGTTTCATATTTTTAATTCTACTTTGGTGCTTTTTTTTTTATTCTAATCTTCTTGTAGCAGATTCACAGATCATTTGGTCTTTGATATTTCTCCCACTCCCCAGAAAAGCAATAGGGAAGTGCTTCCTATTAGCAGGATACTTCTCTTTTGTGGTTCTCCATATCTCAGTTCATTTCATTCAGGATGCAATCACCTTGCAAATCAAGTTACTGCACTTTTTGAAAACTTAAGGGAATACTTCTGACTCCTGGACTGTGAATGGCTCATGGGGACTACTTTCATAGCTTTTGCATTAGCTCCTTGACTCTCTATAGTCTCATTTCATCACCAATGAAGAGAAAGACTCTTCCACAAGAAAGGTCAGAGTAGCTTCAGAACTGAGCTTCCCCTCAGCATCACAGTTAAAGGTGACCACCTCTTTCTTTCCATTCCACAGACAGCCCAGGGAGGTCAGCTCAGAACAGTAATGATGGCTTTAAACAATATCTCTGGCCCCTTAAAAATACTAAATCGAACTTTGTACTGGTGTCCCACAGGAATCGCAGTCTAATCAAGTTATTGCAGCCATAGCTGTTTTGGGCCCATTTTAAATGCCAGTTGGACCCTTGGGCCTACGTGCTCTTCTCCACTCAGCATGTCAGATAATAAAACATGATCCTCAGCAGATTCAGATACAAAACTTTCATGCTTTGGAAATTAAAAAGTATTCCAAGCATCCATGTAACTCAGAGAACGCCAAAACAGATGGGTCCAGACAAGCCCATACACCCCACGCTTATACATAGGGGCAGTGAGTTAAGGGGTTAAGGGGTTTGATAGCAATGCAAGCGTAAGGAGCCACTGTGGTGGCATTCCTTTCACCTTCACACTATAATGACTGCCCAGTCAACAATGCTGACAAATGCAACAAGAAAAAAAGAAGTTAAGTGTGTTTAAAAACCATATCAGATTGCCGATCCCATCTCCTGCATGGCTGCAGAAACAGTTGTCAGCCCAAGTGATAGAGGAGGGCTGTGAAGTGTGGGAGCAAGTATGCAGGACAGGGATGCACAGGGACTCTTTAGACACATACTGGTGCCAGAGGTCCCACACTGTGAAACTGTACCCAGTCGGGCGTGATACAGGATTGCTGCATCAGCACGGCACTGTGCCTTAGATAACAAATTTAGTAGAGGGGATGTGGTAAACTTAACAGGGCACTGAGCACGTCTGGGCCAGAGCTGGCTTTGAATTCAGCTGGTTCAGAGTAGGAGTGGAAGGCACACGCATCTATCTGCTCCTGCCCACGTGGATGTAATCTAATGTGTGCTTGTAGCCATGCTTGGCATAGTGCAATGGCTTACAATGACAGGTTCCTCTCTGCATCTAAGCTATGACAGTAGCAGTGAATTTTTCTCCTGTGCTTCCAGCCAACAATTTAAAATGTTTTTTTTTAATGCTAATGAATGAATTTTTTGCTTCTAATCCCTCCGTTTTATGGATGCAGAATTCCAGAAACAGGTGAGAAAAGCCTGCAGTACAGCCAAGACCATCACTTTAATCTCCTGGCTTACTAACTATGGCCTGCTGTTACATGCAGGAAGAAACACTGAGTGCATGGACAGACATCACCTTGCAGCAACTGGCCAAGAAGCTGGCAGAGGTCACTGCCTCCTGTCCCTGTCTTCTCCCAGAGGTAGTTACCTTTTATCCCAGAGCGCCTAAGTTCATGCCAGTTGCTGTCAAGGAGAACAGCAGGGTTAGTTTAAATGGTTTTAATGGTTTATCTGAGCTATCCCAGGTGCTTTGCCTTCAGGTGGTATAGAAAGTGCTCAAATGCTGCTCCCTAGTTGGAGCACCCTGACAGCAATGAGCAGGGCAAAATGAGGGATGTAGGATTGCAGAGGTCTGGTGTGTTCCATGCAGGAGCTGATATGAGCTGATGTATCACAGTTTAAATACTCCAGCCTTGCTTGAAGAACTTAGGTGTGAAAACAGTAGTACACAGTGCAAACTGTGATCAGAAAGCACAACCACTTTGTCCCACAAGATACTCCTTTTGCTACACTCCTATTTTCGGTCAGGAAGCCTCAGAGTCCTGGCATGACATTACAGGAACTACCATTGAGTTGCTCCACACTCTGTACTTCCCATATTTCTGCACCAGCTATCAAACAGGCTCCTGTGTTCTTAATTTTCATTTCCACACATAAATTGTCTCTTCAGTACCCTCTGCTGTCCGTTCAATGCCACATTGCTCTCAGAATATCCGTAGCTGCAGAGGTTTGGGGTAGTGGCATACTTTTCCATTCCACTTCATTAAGTTGAGCAAAGGGCCCAGCTGCTGCTGGCTGCCTGTATAACTGCTGGTGGGAGCCCGGCACCTCTGAAATGCAGCAGCGCTCTTCCAAGATGCCAAGTGCCTTTGGGAATTGCCCATTTCTCCCCAGTGATGACATATTCCCCCCAGAAGGTCTCTGTTATGTGCCTAAAGACAGATGGTATGACTGGACTCAGATGGCCTACCCAGTTCAGTCTCAAATGAATAAAGGATGAGTTCAAACAGTCTACCCAGAGAACACCCATTTCTTGGGATTCTGGTGTTCTAGATCTAGAAACTGAACACATTTGGTGAATGATACTTGAGGAACCAAGCAGGCTAGGTTAAACCGTTGTGGAATCAAAAAATGCTGATAGATCTTGCCATTACTTCTACAAATTCCCCTATTCCACCTAATGAATCATCAGCCACAATTACAGTAAGCTCTCCGAGATCAAGGTTTGGAAGCTAGAATAAGGACATATATATTGGAGAATATGTAGAAATGAGAAAACAGGAAGAGAAGATTCATAAATCAATCTAAAAAGGCCTAGCATTGTGAATACAATATAGCTAGTGCTTCTCACCATGGTACTGAGGTTACAGTAAGAGTTTTGCTCTCAGGACATGTTAGAGGCTGCCCCCAGAATGGACAGCACATCATTAAGTCTATGGAATCAACAGTAGTTGGATATCACGCTAGCAACATCACTTCTTTCTATGGCAATAGCTATGCAAAATATTATGCAAATATCTTCATGGAGCAACTAGTTCTAGACAGACCTTTGTCCTCTGTAAACTTAATTTAATCTCATAGGAGGCATAGGTTTGCTTGCAGTGAGAGCCTGCCTTCTTTTGCTGAGAGTTTACGTCTATCAGCATTTAGCTAGCCAACTTCATGTTTTTTATTTAACTGCCTGAACAATGAACAAAGTAATAACTTTAGTAAATAACATCCTGCCCCACTTTCTTCATATGTTCAGTCTCTCCCCAGCTACCATAATTTCTTTTGATCACTCCCTTAACTCTACATCTGAATTTTATAAACACATTTTATCCACAGCCAGTCTCATAATAAAATGGGAGTAGGCCCCAGACACCTGGTAGAGATATCAGCTTTTGTCTTATCTGCATACAATCTCCTAAAGATAAAAAAAGATCCCAGATTGGATAAAGCACACTCTGGAATCCAACCTGATTCCTAAAGGAGTTCCTTATTGTTAATAATGTATGGGAAAAATGCAATGCTCTGAAAGAAGAAATCATTATCTGAACACCCACTGAAACACAGACAATTTAATTTAACTTTGGAGATAAATTAATCTTAGAGCCTATTTATACCCCATCTCCAGGTGTCCATAAGTTTCCACCTCTTATCCTTTCACAGACACATGTCAGTAATCAATATTAAGGGATTTTTGAGGCACCTGTACATAGAGAACAGCCAGCGCAATTTGGCAAAGGGTCTCTGTCAGACTTCTCTGCGATGTCAAAATATGTCACATACCTTCTGCACCAATTGACACAAGTTTCACTCCTTTGCTGGCGATATAATCCAGAGCCTTGTTGACGTTAGCAATTTTATGGAACCGCATCTTCCCTCTGTCTGGTTTTGGTAGTCTTTCCCCTGCAAAATAAAAAAAATAATGTGTTCATAGTTAGATACACCTGGCTACACATACCCAAGTGGTTAGAACTTCAGTGAATGTGCCCTGAACACTGTCTAAAAGTTAGCACTTATTTTAACAGGTGTTTTTCTGAAAGAATTTCAAATGGCTTCAAACAAAATCCTGAAGAAAAAATTCAAATGTTGAAACATCTGACTTAGATCTTTCTGATATAGCAGTAAAACCAGAATAAAATTCTTATATTTGCTCTAAACATCTGAAAGATATGTGAGTGCTTCTTGCTACTTGACTTCTGGTTCACTGCTACTCTCTGTGTTAGAGTAACTGAATATTAAGGTAGGATGTTACAGAGCTCATTACCCTTACCTGCCTGACTGCACAGAGAGAGGTAGCAGATCAGCCACAGCATCCTTCCACATCCAACCAAGAACAGTGGCTTCTAATAACCTCATCCAGTACAGCAGAGCAGCTAATTTCAGAGCATAGGCTGTTGGGTCTGAATTACCATATCTTTTCTATTGATCACAAAGAAAAATAATTTCTGAAAATATAACTCTCCATTTTGTGAAGAGTGATCATTTGAAGATCATCGTCCCGCACTGAAATCTCCAGCAAAAATGTAAACTGTCTTTTCCATAAAGACATCTTAAAAATCTTTTTGCCCTTTTTCACCTTTGTTGTGAGCCTTTATTTACTTTAGGCACTCACTTTTGAAAGCATTGGTCCATCCAATGAAGTCATTAAAAGCAAAATAAAATATTTATACTAAAAACAGAATAAAATTAATTTGTAAACTTAGTGTAAAGACTTTTAATTGTTAAGGTCCAAGACCAGGTCCTCAATGCCTGTGGTTTGTCCAACACCGCTGCAATGTCAGTGATACCCTGATACACTGCTATATCCTGGAACACAAGCACAAAAAATAAGATGGTAGAGGTAAGGAAAAAGCAGAGGCTTTTTTCCACCCTTTTGTTTTACAGTGTGTTTCATCTCTCACTTTGCAGCCTACTTAGAGTTTGTGTTCACTGTTTTGAATTATTAACAATTTTTGGTTTTAAGAGCATTTCAGTTAGCATGCTGTAAATACATAGCAAACTTTATTTTAGCCGACCTGAGATAACTTCCAAGAGGAGCATGAGTTTGAGGCCATTTCTGAAGTCCTCCTCAATGTTCTCAATCTGTGTGCCTGCTTTCCTGAGGTGGGAATTGCACCAGGCTGTAAATGTCTGTAAGAGTATTTAAAAAAAAATACTTATCAACAAGACATTTTCCAAAACGACTGCTAAGTCATCTGAGCAAACACTGTATCTGAGGTTTTCACAATTGCCTTAGAAATTTGGATGTCTAACTCCCATTCCTTTGATACATCTTGCTGAGTTCAAAATTCTTATCCAAGATGGTCATGAAGATGCAACGAATTGCTTGATTAGAAGCAATATTGTGCTAGATTCTGCTTGTAAATGCATCCCCAAAAAAAGATCTACAAAAGGCAAAATTTGTCTAATAGTTATTACTATACTTAACATTTTATGAGTGCATAATTTTATGTTGGGACTTATCTGTTACACATTCTTCCTGAAAAGAAAGATTGATATGGTATAAAGGAAGCTGTGTAACAGTAAAATGTAAGCAATAGCAAGCACAGAAGCAAAAACTTCTACCTCCTGAATTGACGCCATGATAAACAGTTCTTACACAGATCTTCCATGCCAAGGAGAAGCAGCATGCATTTCTCACAGGAAGGAAGCTGTGAGAGCACTCTTCAGGATGAAGTAAATGAAGCAAGACTTTATACAGCAAGGATACCAGCAAAATTGCATCTCCTCCTACTTACCTACTGTGAGTAATGAGACTTTTGAAAACATGGGTAATTTTGAAAGTTTACAATTCAGGAGTAGGTTTCACATTCAGACTCTGCATATATAGTCTGCCTTACCAAGGGTTTTATTTTTAAACTGTATTATATAGTTTTCAGAAAAATATCACAACTTCATGAAACTCACAAATGCAGATATTTAAGCTTGCCTGGCAAAGATGGTCACAAAAGAAACCATGAGCGTTTCTCTTTCCTTGGAGAATAACCAAGTCTGCATTTACGTGCAGAGATGAAAAGCAGAGCAAACTCCATTGATCTACAGAGGTCATATACATGTTACCTTTTGTATGAACAAAATAAAAACATGGGCTACTATAAAACTGAGTAGTTAAAATCAGTCTGTTTTCAAATATCCACTACTTCTCAGTCTTCTGAGAAATTCTCCTTGCTTTAAAGCGTCTGTTAAGATAGAAAAAGCAAGTTTGTATTTACTAGGTATTTCACCAGGAATTTAACTCTAGGTGTATAACAAGGCCATGCACTTTGGTAAGTTAGACTTCAGCCACTTAAAATGGTCTCTTTCTTTTGCTATTTCAAATTATCACAGTTTTAAAAACATTCAACGTAAGTTGTTTAAAAAATAAAATATATCCTGAATCCCCATTGTCAGTATGAAATTTCCTTTGGACTCCTTTTTTCTTGATTGTTTTTTGGACTATTTAATATCTGATCTCTCAGAAACAGAATAAGAAAGGCCAGTAGATGAAGGCAAAAACTTTCCCTGGAACTGAATCTCATAAATTCTAGACAGATTTCATACTTCAAGAAGATATGGATTCACTTTTCAAAAACAGTCTGTTCTTAAAAATACAACTTTCTGTTAAGGAATAACATTTCGTTTGTTGTTGGGTTTCACTCAATTTATGTGGAGAATTTTTGTGCATCTTGCAGGACTCATTTCTCAGGGCTCCCACAGTGACAAGGAGCAGCTTGCTAAACTTTAAATTTATTGACTTCTCCTTTCCAGTTTAAAGAAAGAAGCAAGAAACCCTGTGGATATGGGGGAGGTGTGCAGTGCAACCTCTAAGTCCAGATACGCAGAGAAAGGAGAGCAGGGGAAGTGGTTGTGGGCAGGGGTCTGCTGACCTGCAGAGGATGAGCCACAGGCAGAGGCGTAAGAAAGTCGGTCTGTGTGCAGATGGAGATAAGTATGGCTGCAGTTGAAGCATCTCTACAAATACATCTGTTTGAATAAAGTGACCTTAGCTTGGAAAGCAGTCATTCAGGAAGGTAAAACATTCCTCATTTTAAGGTAACCATCACTACTAAGCTCATGAGAGACGAGAAACCAGAGTGTGTCAAGCATCACAACAGAGAATAGTAGGCACCTCTACCCTCCGGGCTTGGTGTGATGGTGTCTTAGGATGGTATTTGGTTTGGATCATTGTAAAGCTAGGATCTAGTTTATTAAGACTTATTTGTTTGCCTCAAGCAGGGTCTTGTTCTAGTGATTAGTATCTAAAAAGGCTTAACACCACATTAAGTCATTTGCAAATACTAAGAATTATAACAAGCATCCTTGGAAAGAAAAATGTTATGGTAACACAGAAAAAACAGCTGAAAGCACTCAAGGGTAAACACACATGAACCTGGCAATAAATATTAGATAGCAAAACTAGTAAATGATTAAGCCTTTCATGAATTAAGCCGAAGTGATGGACGTGTGCTTATCTGCAGATGCTATTGCAGTTTGTGGAACTATTCAAAGCACACCATGCTGAACTCCAAGAGGAATGTGGAGAAAAACCCCAGCCATTTCTATCTCTTATTTTACACATTTATGGTGAACATTTTGACCTTGTACTACTCAAGTAAATGAGTGCTCCCCATTTTTCATTTAACTGAGTTTAATGGCAATGACCCTATCAGTTGAGCAGTCATCAAATACAAATATCATTTCTACTGTGAAAGTTTCCTAAGAAGAAATGGAACTTGGCACTTATGAGCTTATATATGCATATATAGACATATATAGACATATATATATATACACACACACACACACACAAACACATATAAAAGAAATTAGAATCTTGTCTACCTCTAATCTCACTCTGCTCCTCTACTTTGCCTCTACAACAGCTGATTCAACTTACTGTATGCCACACTGATAGACACAAAACATAAATTTTATCCAAAGATTCCAAAGTTAGTTTATCTTGAAAACACAACTTTACAGCACTGAATTTGCTGAGAGACAAATTGAGGTGCAGAAGATCACTGGCAGAAAAATTAAAAACATACACTGGATGTTCAACTTCTCAGTGCTGTCCTCTAATCACTAAAATCTCTTCCTTCCTGATCTGCACACCTTCGCACTGCCTTTTCTCAATCTTGCTCATTTTATGAAGACATTAAGCAGCCAATGTTGCTGTGATACACACAAGGAAAAGATGCTACTGCTGCTGAGTCAAGCTGTTATCCATACAGAGTTTGATGACAGTCACGTGTTTTATGAGCTGCCCTTTTATATCTGTAGATTATTTAAGATTCTTTCCAGCAGTATTGGGGTTCGCCATTGACATTGTAGCATTCTGAAGGATAAACTTGGAATTACCTTCAAAGCCTCCATTCATGGGATACATTAAGTTCTACTGAAGCACTCAACTGTGCACAGATTCTTTATTTAGACTATCTGTATCTAGATAGTTTAGATTCTCTATCTATAAAAAAGATTTAGATCTTTTATCTAAATCACAGTTTCTCAGAGCTTTCTGTTTTACAAGTGCACCAGGTCATGACATGATGCCATCCCCTTACAACAGCTGTCTCATGCCTCATGAGGCATCACAGCAGGCTCTCGGCATGTGGCTTCATGACTTGGTGTCTTCTAAACTGCCTTATTTTCCTAGGACTTAACGTGGCTCTAGGAATGCTACTTAAGAAAGTGTTTGCTGTGGTTCAGTGATGCAATCCATAAGTGACTGCATTAAAGCCACTGCAAAACGTCACTTGCAAATTTTTACAGTTTCCACAATCCATGTTTTATTTAACCCTTACCCTTCTATTCTTATTGTGATACCACTTGTTCTCACTGCTTTGGCTTTCACTAACAGTTCTATTCATAGTTATTAAGAAATAATTCAAAGCAGTTTAAGTCCTGGAGATCAAGATGCAGCCAGCATATAGTAGCCTGCAAATTTATAATCCACTGGGCTTTAAAAGCTATTAAATGACTTAGACAAAGCAAATTCCTTTTTCTGCTGAGCTGTACAGCACATTTCAGAGTATCAGATTGCCCAGAGAAACAAGGCAGGCCTGAAGGCACCAAGCTGAATACCAGGACAGATACAAATAAGTGCTTAGAAAGCTAGACATTTCTTTTTAGAATTTATTTACCATAGATGGCTCTACAAATTAAAAAAAATAAATCTTATTTCCAAAGTTATTACTACAAAAGAAACTTTGCTGACATTCTTAGATGGAAGATCACAGAAGAGGGGATGCAGGGCAGGAAGCCAAACAATTTGCAGTCCCACAGGTAAATGTTCTCTTAATGCAGTAGTCATTATCTGCTGCTGTCACAGGTCTATTTTGAAAAAGCTGACTCCAGAAAAGGGAGCGTAGTTTATGTTCTACGACCACTTAGCCTCACCATGAAGACTGCCAATAGCATATTCGCCATAATTTGGATTCATAGATCTATGACAGCAAAGTGTGTACCTGAGAGAAAAAACAAACAATCAATCAATCAAAACTTACCTGGTAACTTACACACGCCACTTCATTTTACAAGCCCTCAACAAGTAGGATTGCAATCAAGGGGCATAAAAAGGAGAAATCCCTAATTAACTATCAATCAACTCCAGCTAACACCAAAAAAAAAATAGAGTATGCCTGCTCTAAGGTGCAAATATTTTTACACATGCACAATGAAGGACATGCTTTGATGGAAAAAGTTGTATCTCTGAGAGCTGAACTGTCCTACACCCCTGAGGAAGTCCACATGTGCTTTTTATGTGGGTGCAATGATAGCTTACTTTTGAAAGTGCTTCAAAGCCATAAAGCAAGAAAGATGCTATAATAACAAGTTTCATAAGTGAATGTGGTAATGGGGATAAAGAGAATTTAGAAAGCACCAGTTACAAATCTCTCCGTTACCCATCAGTGGCTCACAAGACAACTTGTTGCGCCTGCTGAAGATAGAGAGTAAATTTCTAAGTTTGGCACTAGTAGTGAGTCCAAAATGTACATCCCCAAAACAGCAGCATAACATGCATGGGCACACGTACAGGGATACTCTTCACAAGTTCAGGGAGA